GGGGGGAGGGGGGGGGGGGAATACATACGCCTTGTGAGGGAGCGATCCTGAGACCGTTATCGCGCTGCCTTCGAGAACTTTAACAACCCTGTTCGGCTCGCCTTCATGCTTACAGCGATTTTGATGTCCTTCCTGAGGTACTAACTGTAACAAAATGTGATGTAATGGTCATGAACATCTTGAGCGAAAACTTAGAGACACCATTTTTGTTTGGGACATCGCCTTTTTTTAGTTAGCAAGGGGTCTGGTCATGTGTATACATGACATGAACATCACAAAGGTTCTGTGGTTTTGCATAGTGTGTACTTAAGTGCTGAAAGTACCCACAGTGCATGTCGGTTTGCCCTTCCGTGTGGAAATGTCCCGCAGTAAATTCGAAAAGGTCAAGTGTTGAGGTACCTTATGTTACGGTAGCCATTTGTTGTGTGTTGCACGCATGTAGTTATATGTCAGCCACCCAATGAAGAATGGTAATTGAAAGATAGTGTCATTTCCTTGGCATATTTTGCGTTCTTTTGTATTGATATAAGTCACAAGTCAACGTGTTTTTTTTTAAGATTGACAATGAACCGACTCAAAGGTGGGCTTAAACTCACAACCTGAACAAGTTTATCGAAAATAGCCACAAAACAGAAATGACAGTGTTTGGTCAGATCCCCAGCTATCTCCATTACGCTAAGGATGTAAAAAAGACCTGGAAAGGCAACTTCCAACGGCTTCGCCTACCTCGAACCGCTGTCAGACCTGACCGATGGGCCCGTGGCGTCCAAAGCCCGGTAACGATCTTCCGTTGGCAGAAGTACAGCTTTTCATAGCCGGGTGAACATCTCCCGACCAACGACACTTGCAGTAGGCAATGTCTTTCAGAGGCACAAAGCAAACGGCAGTATGCCGTAAATAAGTCAATTGCGTAGAATTGTAGCTGGCGTGTATGACAAGCCGACGGCAAATATTAGAGACATCTGGTGTCGACGGGCGTACACTGTTAGTGATGTGAAGCGCTGCACGGTGGTGCTGTCGGCGGGCCATGCGCTATGGAAACCGTAGGTTTGCGATGTCTTTTTTTGTTTAAATTTGATCCGAATCCTTTGGATGGATGGTTTTCTGAGAGCAGCGCTCACGCTAAGCAGTGCTTGTTGTGTGAGCCCTGACATCCACCATCCGGATCGCCCAATTTCAGGCAACGGACAGAATTTAGTGGCGAGAGCTTAACGTCCCGCTATGGCCGGCACGGCCCGTCCTGCCCTCTGACGTCAACTAACCCTTAGCGCGACCGCTGCCACCGGCCGCAGGCCATACCTGTCAAGGGCAGGTAGCGAGCACCCCAAAGCGACTCGAACCCACCCTGCCGCGGGTGGGTGGATCGGAAAGGCAGGCGCTCTAACCAACTGAGCCACCTGGACGGACACGCGCGGCGGACGGGGCGGTCATCCCACCAATCGGCGTGGGCTTTTGCGTTGTGTATTGTGATTTGGTTATTGACCTGAGCATCGATCGAAACGAATCTTCTGACGTCATGCCTGCAGCAAATACATTGCTCGATATGCACGTAGTGCACACCAAGTCCTCCGCCGTGCACCCCAAAGCACCGAACCCATAACCGCCATGGCCACTCTCCATTTCCCGAAAACTTGACCATCCGTGACAGGGATCATAGCTCATGTTGACACACATCAGTGCAGAAACCATCGTGGTAGACAGTACTGACTAAGCGCTCAGCATATCACACAGCACAACAAAACCGGACAAACGCCCTGCGCCTCGCAGCTCCTATATCATGGGTCACGCGTCCAATAGGCAGACCACCCCTCTTACCGATGCGTACCTCAGGACTTCGAAGGTTCAACCGACTGCGCCAAATGCTGCCCTCTTGTCATTCTGACCTCCAGCTTCACCGCCCGACGTACTTCTCACCCAGCACCCAACTCATCTACTGTACTCACCCAACGAACGGTCCACCCAATGGTCCTCCCTGCGTCAGGGGGGGGGGGGGGGGAACTATGTGTGATGCATCTTTCGAGAGGCCTCCAGATCGACCACGGGACTACAACCTAATGCCGCCAGAATGGCAGCCGGTGAGCACTCAGCGCTGGGATGTAATGGCCCTTCAACCCTCGACCGGGAATGATAAGGTGTGACCTTCTCACTCAAAGGGACCCCTTGCTTGGAAAAAGGTAGGGGACTTTCATTAGCGTTCAATGGAGTAAATGGAAAGGAGGCCAAAAATGAAGAGAAGGAGGCCCTGAGCTCATGTTTTCCTGAGGACATCCATCCTTTTTCAGAATCGACTTGTGAAACAAATTACATATGGAAACAATTAAACGTTTCGAGCCTATCTGCAGCCTGCCTCGCAGTCTTAGAAGCAAAAACAGCTATGGCTGACGTTCCATTTTCCGCAAAACCGAACGGCATTTACCACTGAAGGTAACACCAGGCGAGGGGCGCCGGGTGCGCGGGAACGGTCGTGGTGAAATCATGCTTCCGAAAGTTTTTTTCCGAATCAATTCGTACCGTTCAAAAAAAGACTGAGGCGTACATTTCACCTTTGCGATTTGAGGATGCCCTTTGAACAGATTAACAGTTACAGCAACACAACAAGCAGAATGTGCATTCACTCTTCCAATTCCACCAACAAATTCCAGCACAGGTTCGCGATGCTGTAAATGCTAATCGGTTCTATTATCAATCTAAACAATCCATTGATGAAATCATGGGTCGACCAAACGTTCACGGGGTTCCTAAATATCTTTGTAGAATTCAGAAAAATCTCAGAGAGCCTCTGAGTTCTATCAAGTTCAAACGGAGTTTACTCAACCGCTGTAAAATAAATGGTTACGACGGCTTGTTTCATGCAGTTTTTAGCCCCCGCTTTTTCAGTTTATTGACTTCCCAATACAAAATTGTGTCTTCTGGTACATTTGCTCGCTTCTCTTTGAGTCAAAAAATTAAAAACATAGCTAGGATATGGGAAACCGCGTCCCCTCGACATCAAGACGACCAAATCCAGGGATTTTGTAAGGGGAATCCCATTAGGCGCCCTATGTGAGCCCTGCGCTCCCCCCCCCCCTCTTACAAAGACTGGCTGCGCCCCTGCCGCCAGGTTATGGTGCCTAACCTTTACGTTTGAGCGGCACCTGATACTGTGACGTCATTTCCTGACGCATGGTATCGATATCGACACCGCATGGTAATCGAACACCATTATTACGATTACAGATAAGTTGGCGGCATTCGCTGGTCATTGAGGGCTTCCTCTCTTAGTCTGCGGTGCGAAAGAATCGAATGGCATTTGCGCTTAAAATGCCGATCTGGTAGAACCAAAAAATAAAAAGTAAAAGGACCGCCATGCATGAGAAGCGTGCGTGTGCGTGTGTTGGGATTCGAACCAGGGCCCTCTGATATCGAGTCCAGTACTCTACCAGCTGAGCTAGCCCGGATAAACACTCCCAGGAGGACTACTTATCCACAAATGCAATGCATGCTTTTGCTCACGGAAAAACTGCCCAACTAAGCGCTTCAATACAACGGTAAAATAAAAGTCAGTCTTCCGCCACAACACCTGGCTCTCGTCGCCTGCATGGCAACGCCGATTGTCGTACTTTGGGATGGTCAGAGGTGGGATCTCAACACATAATGAGCGAGGCACAGATCAAGTCCCAAACATCTTCCAGCAATGGAAGAGAAATGCGGACGCCCATGTAATCAAACGCATGGCTAACATCGATGTGTATATCAATGCCAAGAATTGGCGTTGTGGCAGAGCAAGCAAAAACTTAAAATATCACAAATAGCGCTGCGGGTGCTTGATACGACTTTTACCGCGCCGTGGAAATAGGGAATATTACTCACCGCGCGTGGGATTGTCATCACAGAACACTGCGCACTGCAAACGCTGGTGCGCCCGTGGGATTCTCTCATTACAGAGCTCCGCGCACTGCAAACACTGGCGCGCGCTGGCCGCTTCGGCTGCTCGACGTCTTTCCACGTTTTTTCAGCCATGGCTCCTTATAGTTGAAGCCTTGCATGCCCGCCTCCTCAACGTTTGGTTGCCCACGTGAGGTGCAATTTAGCTCCTAATGCTGACTCAGTACTGCCTATACCAAATCACTTCTTTGAAATGATAAAATAAAAAATGCCACAGAAAGAAAGGAATTGACAAAACGGGCGGAGTTGATGTTCGCCCACAATACGAAGGGGGGTGAGCTTTTTATTTTAGGTTAGGTTACGGTTGGCCCTGACGGATCAATATGGCTTTATCCGGCCGCAAATATGGGGCCACTTTGGGCGTTCTCGTTTTGCACTTCCCTGGATCCGCCACTGCCTACAGCGCCGTCACTTTCACCCCTCCTCAAGCGGCGTGATTCGCCTGGAGGCTGGTATGGACCACATTCAGGGGTGGGAAGACTTCCGAGGCGAGCAGTAATGCTCCTTAGAATAATTGGAATGGCTTGGTTCACCAATGAATCAAGCCTGCTGCGTTTGTCCCTCCATGCAACAGCCACGGAAGGATGTACGGGATTTTGAATTACATTCGTTTCGACGGCGGGTGCCAACACCGGCCGCCGCCGGCGCCCAGTCAGCCGCCGCGGACAGTGCGGCCGATGCGTCTGTAACAATGGTCACCTCACACACCAGCCGACGTGTCGCAATATCCGGACGGCCGGCCACTCGGCCGTAAAAAGCGGACCCGACTGTACCCGCCAGGCTTTGGCGCTACTCGTCCACAGCCAAGCGGCGCCAGCTCGGCACTGTCCGCCCTCGCCCGTGATCGGACCACCGGCACCGGGGCGGGGTTCAAGTTCGCCTGCTGCTATCGGCGACGGACCGGCGGCGGCCCCGCCGAGATACCATACCTGTCTGGCCGGCCGGCGCGAAAGCGCGGGGGCTGAGGCCGGCCCCCGTCCCACCTCTCTCCACCGCCGGCGGGCACCGGGCGCGTGACGGGCTGCCTTGACCACCAGGCGACGCCACCGCCGCCGCCAGCGCGCCGCCCTGGAGTTGCTCTCGGCCTGCTTCGGTGTGCGCCTGGCGTCCGGTTGCCTGAACATGGGGAGCCTGCAGGGGGACGCCGAGGACGAGGTGGAGATGCGGCAGCTGCGACTGGCAGCCGTGCGCGGCTTGAAGTTCGAGGACTTGGCAGACAGCCGACGCGACAGCTGCACGGACGGCGAGGAGCTGGACGTCTTCAATGCACAGTAGGTGGATTTTTCGCACGCTGAAAAGAGCACCAACTACATTTTTGAATAAATATCAATATCGTGAATTTAATTATTATGTGTCAAGCGACCAGCATATGAGATAAAACTTCAAGGCGACCTGTTGCGGCCTAATTGAACCCACCGCCTCGTTTATTTTTTCACCGCCGTAGAAGGGGCTCCTCTAGCGTGTGAACTGGTACGGGGCAGCTTCTAGTCCTTCAGTCATGGAAAAATCTGTCGCGGGTAGGGGATGGAAGGAAATTGACATGAGACGTCATTAATGTTGGTTTCTCGTCGGAAAGCATTTTTTAAATGACAAATCGTCTTTAAGCAGATCAAAGACATAGTCATCAAATCAGGGATATGTTTGAGTCTGACATAATTAGCTGGTCCTCCAGTCAAAGTTACGTAGAGGCCTTATACCGCGGCCATGATGGGGCAGTTTTATTCTTTCTACCAGATTTTTACTGGTAACTTTACCAAGCAAGAACCTCAGGTGCCTTTTTCGTGCAGTGCATAGGCACAGGAATGGAGCAGCCAAACTGTGAACATCACACTTCCCAGACCGCTGATATGTTCATGGAGCCGTGCATCATTTCGGCCGCCTCAACATCAGGCTCAGGGGTCAAACAGGTTGGCGGGCGGGAGAGGGGGGGGGGGGGGCACGAACTGGTGATCCTGCCCATTAGGGAGTGTGTGACCACCTGGAATGGTTAACAGCACATATTCATATTCCAGAAGAGCGTCTGCTTATTGCATGATTTTTCATGTCTCATAAACGGCAAGTCAAACCTTGACATCAGGACACCAAGGCAGGGAGGGACAAAACGTTACAGGTATTGCTCGATGTCGATGTCCGCGGCGTATCATTCCGCATATTATCGGGGTGCTTCAGAAACCCTACGTGGTGTTCCAATAAGCCGACAGCAGCTCCGCAAGGCTGAACAGATCATTGTACTGTATGCGTTCATGAGTGAAAAGTACACCTAAGGATTCACAGCGAGCCTTTTGATATAGAAATTGCGACTCTGTGTTACTGCTTGCGTTGCAACGATGTGCGCTTGCAGCGTACAATATATTCAACTGTTTTGCATAGTTGCAATTTTCCGAAAAAATCCCTCTGGGCAGTCACTTGTTCCTCGTGAAAATAACAGGGGTGGTTCTAGGGTTTATAGGCATCTCAACTGTTCAGTCAAAGTGACCGAAATAGGTAACTTCACTGTTCGGGATGGAGGCTGAGGTTGATATTCAGGAACATGATATTAGGAGAAGACCGTGCAGTGGTTCCTCTCCTGCTACAATCGCCTGACATGAGCTGGGTTACGATAAGCCCTGCAGACCATCTCGCCCACTACCCCCCAGCATGTTTTCGGCTTTAGACATTAGTTGGTTGGAGCTGTAATTATAATCCATGCGGAGAAGCCGCTGCTTCCACTCGTTCTCATAATTTACCGACTTTCATCATGTTCCCACGCATTCGTCTCACGATCACCATACGCTGCATTTATTCATCGCATTCCTAATCAACTTCAGCCCCACAATGCTGCCCCTCTTAATCCCTTCACGCGGCACGCGGCGGGTCGGAGTGAAGACCGTTGCCCGATATACTGCCAAACTGGGGTATTTGACCGCCTTTGCATTGCTACTATTCTCTTATATTGACAAGCCAGGCCGCTTCACACTTGCGTCCCGTGCCATTCAGGTTAAGGGGCGGTAGCGTGTAGCAAGATATCCTGTCTTAAATCCTGGGTAACTCTCACCCTTAGTTATCGCCAAGCTACCGTTCCTGTCTCTGAGGAGGGCTTGCTTGCCTTTCTAATGCCAATCTAAAGGAACGTTATGGCTGGGATCCTTACGCCGGCTTAGTTATCGCCAAGGTACCGTCCTTGTCTCTGAGGAGGGCTTGCTTGCCTTTCTAATGTCAATCTGAAGGAACCCGTGGGACCACTTTGCCGAGTTGCATCTTCCACAGCGCCTTGTGAGTACCGTTCCCGCGTTATGAGACCCCGTCTGAATGGCTGTCATCCCTCCCGAATGCGGTCTGCTCTTCCACGTGATCACGTCAGTGCTCTAACTGTCCTAAATGCTGTCTTCTTTATCCGCAAAGTTGCCAGTGTCGGCAGACATCAAGGACATGAAAGCCCCCATGCGTAATCGTCTTTGGCCTTATGCGCCCGCTGTTTTGTTGTGGGCTCATATAGATTGTCTCTCTGGCTCATTCTCGACATTATAGCAACATCGACAGAATGTTCGACTTTGAAACCACAACCTCAGCGTGCGTATGATGTCCCTTTCAAAAGCCTGCATGGCCGATCCACCTTTGACATCTAAGTTGATTGATTTGTGAGATGGTTTCATCAAGGTGCTGTGCATTTAACCATCACATCCCGAATTTCTTCGTCATTTACATTTCATTCGGACCCGAGCAATGGAGGTGACTGAAGGCGGAATACCAATGCTTATGCACGAAGCTTAGCTCGTTATTTTCAGTGCATGGCTGTAAATGTGTCGGGTATGCACTTGTGTGCCAGAACCGAGCTTCTACCAAATGTTTGTCACCTTGTCACTGAGGGAAGTGTCGCGCAGATGTCGTCATATTGACCGTATCTCGAGTTGACGTGGGTGCCGAGCTCAGCGACGTGCTTGTGACGTCATCTGATGCGAGGCGGTTGCGACATTGGGGTTGCGTGTGACCAATCGTTGGCATTAGTAGCTCCGCATCGCGTTGGGTACAAACAGGCGAATCTTGGCGCGGATGTAACCCATGCGTCCTTCAGAGGACAAGTCGGGGCGACTAGACGTGAGGATGAGGTTGTTGGTGGGCTCCATCTCTCTCCCATCCTGACAACGATCCTGCGAGCGGAAGTCACGCCAAACTCCGAGACCTCCTCCGTTTTCTCGTCCCCACAGACATCGCGCAATTTAAAACAGTTCACGACGCCCGTGGAGGTGTTGTTTTGTCCCGTGTGTCGTTGCAAGCATGGACGCAGTTTTCTCGCGCCTGTTTTCCTCGACCTGAACAGTGTAAGTAAACTTTGTCGCGGCGACGACCTGGCTTACCGCTGAACTACTGGCATACTCCACTTCCATGTTGCCATCCTGAAGCTTGTCGTATCGATCTTGCTAAACCTGTCGTGGCTGCTCCGTCGTTGGAACGTTGACAGAGATGACAGCCTAAATTCTTCGTTGCTAAAGACTAGGATTCCTGGACCGGGGAGAACATGTTCTCTTTTGCACCTTGCAGTCAGTGAGGCCTGGTCCCCTTCGGAGGATCAGTATTTTTGTGGAAGACACCATGCAATGCGCTTTTCATTTCAGCAACTCAGGGCTCCTTTCCTACCACGGGGGTCAATTGGGCGCCGGTCCAATGCTCCCTCGGGGATGGTCACCGCTAGGGCTACTTCGGCGCTATACGGATCGAACCACACCCCACACGGCCAGATGTAACCGGAGACACCCCTCCTTGTCCTGACCGTGGTTCAGCACCGCCGTTCCCTGACCACTTACGCCGCTGGGGTCGGTCAGGCGCCCCGAGCGGAGATCCGCAAAGAGTGTGCAGCCGCAGCGCAGTCGATAGGCCGCTGGAGCCGTGTCGCCCCTACTGACCCGGCGCCCCCGGATATTCTGGCGACAGCGGAGTGTTAGGACGGGCCGCGACTGCCCCGCACGGCGCGGTCCTCAGCCACCCAGACCTGATGAGCCCGGGGATCCGGACGAGGAGACACGGCAACCCCCATAAAACGGGATCGAGGAGGGGTGAGAAAACGGGATGCGAGAAGGCGGGTGATGGGGGGGGGGGGGGAGCGGGAGGGGCAAGCAGCTGGGGCTCACGTACCGGCAAGGTCCCCAAACCTTGAAATGAAAGCTTACGGAGTCCACCCGCTACCAGAGTTGGAACTGAGGGAGCCCTAGTTCCCCACACCGGCCGACGCCAGCGCCCTTGTGTGTCGGGTGCCCGCTGAGAACCAGGCTGCCAGACCAAGTGTGACGTGACACTCTTTGGCTACTTGCCAATGGACCCGGTGATGGGAGCGAACTGAATTCAGACGTTCCCCGCTCGATGCATTCCAAGTCTGTCCGCAGACACCAGCCAGCTGCAGCGGGGCCAAACGGTACAACCATACCTGACCATGCTTGCTGTGGATAGACGATATTCCCCAGCCTCATTAGGCTGCGCCGATTTTCTTCTATTCAGCACGTTTGATGTTGAAAACAAGATTGGCATTTGCATGGTCATGCGAGCGAAGAATGACCTGGTTAGGGGCAGGGGCGTCACTGTATAGACTTTCGTAGGGCGCCCCTATGCTGACTTGAGCTGAGCACCTCTGTGCTCCTCCCCTCGCCTTCCCCCAATGCCAATGAATATGGGAAGAAGGACTTATGGATGCAGGAAATATAGGACATTTGCTTGAAATTATGTTATACTAAGCATGTAATTTGCCTAAAGACGTCAATTTTTGCTTCATTTTGATTTCGTACCACAAAATATCCTGTAGATACTTCACGTGCTTATGCCATTCCAACTCCTTCACATATTGGGCCCATGGGCGTAGGAACGTTTCAAAAAGTGGGGGGGGGGGGGTGCAAGCTCAGGGTGTACTTCAGGAACTTTTTCTGAAAAGCGCGCCCGATGACCGGGGGGGGGGGGGGGGAGGAGGAGGGAGGAATGGAGGTTGTCATCACTCTTTTTTCAAGTGTCATGGCTGCTATGCTAGACATGCATCTAGAGCTGTTTCTCACTCGTGCACAATCTTGCCTACTCGACTCATCTGTCATTTGACAAATAAGGCTATCCAGATTCCTTACATTATTCGTCCATTTTAACATTGTCTTTCTTCGAGAGACGAAATTCCACGAGCGGGTAGGCATTTTGGGTCATTGAGAAATCATCTGCCTCCACAGTGTAGATGCCAAAATATGGCCTGGATATAGGCTGCTGAGAATTTTGAAAGTGGATCGATGTCACACAGCGAGACATATTTTTCATGCGCCTTTAT